CCTGGCACGCCAGCGCACCGGGAGCGGCGACAGGGGACAGGAGCAAAGCACACACCGCCGGAGAGCCCTGACCCCCCCTTGTGTGGAGAGAAATGTCCGAGAGGACTCACGTGTGCACGCGGTGGTGCCCGATGAACGCAGGGTTTGGCACACGTGGGCAGCGGCTCCTTCTTGGGTGCCTTGGTGGAAAAATTGCCTCTGTTGGGTGTTCCCATTCCACTGGAGAGGGTGGCTGGGCTCTGCGAGGGGCTGCCCTTCCTCCCTCCACCCCCTGCCACCTGAACCCTCCCGCTCAGGGCTGGCATGGCTGGCAAAAATGGGGTTTGCCAGAATCGGGCACAGACAGCCCGCACCTGACCCTGGGCTGGGGGGAAGGCAAGGGCGATCCTGCAGGAAACACACCATCCCGGCAGCGTCCTCGGAGCCTCTGGGGTGCCCCATGGCTGCTCGTCCCCCACCAGGTGCTCCCCACCAGCACCTCTGCCCCCCAAAACCGCCTGGCTTTCCCGGCGCTCGCAAGGAAACCCAGCTCCCAGCTCTCTGCTCTGGCTTTCCACCACAGTAATTTCTGTGCACACTAAAACGCCCACACCCGCCCACGCAAATCAAACAAGCAAACACAAACCTATGAAGGAATCTAACTCGTCTCCTCGGAGCCAGGCAAAAAGAGAGGCTTGTTGTCATTATCTCTATCTAAGTGCTCGGGAAGCACTTGGATCCATGGGCCCCCGATGCACCTGTAAGTGGATCAGAGAAAACCTTAAGCTCGCCCGAGCGAAAATGTGCCATAGCAACAGCCTGAATCCAAAAAAGTGTCATAAGAAAGATTTTGAGCAGCATTAGAGCTGGGCGCGCTCTGAGCCCAGGGACCAAACGGGGGAGATTTTTAATCTCGCCTTGGCAGGCAGAAGCCAAAAACCTGATAATTTTTTAAAAAGATGAAGCTGCGTGGTGAATGTAGGGGAAGGCGTCCCTTTCACAGGAACACATCACCAACGCGTCTGAAGGCCGTCGAGCTTTAAAATGGCTCTGAACCATCCCGCTCGGGCCCGTGACCCCAGCCTATCTGCTTCCAGTCCCCCGAGGCTGGAAGAGATTTAAAGAATTACTTTAAAGTGAAAAGTCGGCTGCCAAGAGAAGCCCCACGAGGGATGCATGAGATACATACCCGGAGGCGCCTCGCGGGGATAAGGGAAGTCCGGCATCTGAACAATCAATTGCCCTGAGGGGGCAGCGCAGAAACCGGGCCCAGGGCAGGCAGAGCCTTGCCACAGGCAACAGCGTGGGAAGGAGCTGCCCCAATATCACCGCCAGGGATGTGCAGGGGCTCTTCCGCAGTGATGGCACAGCCTGGAGTCGAGGAAAGCTCCCGTCCCAGCTCCTCCCAGCACCTGCAAGGCCCCCGCGCCTCTGGGGCGGCAAAGGATGGGGCAGACAAAGCCTGATGCAGGTTTTTTTTTGGCAAGGACACAACGGCCCTGGCACAAAGGGCACTTCCCCGGGCAGGGACAGGCATCGTGATCGCAGTACGATGCAGAGGGATGGAACATCCGTCTGGATGCCCCCAAATCCTTCCAAGAAACAGCCTGGGTTTGTTTCAGACACCCACTGGGAGAGATGAATCTCCTGGCCCCCCTGCTGTCCCTGTGGCAGCCGTTTGCTCCCTCACCCCTCCGGTCCGGGTTGCTGCTGCCAATTACACTCTTTTGGCATGATCAGGAGCTGTGTAGGCTGGAGCCGGTGAACAAACCCAAGCGTGCTCATTTCAGCCGCCCTGGAAGCAGAGGAGAACGGGAGGTGGGGGAGCACGAACTTCCCAAATGGAAAAATACAGAATCAGCCATGGGGAGGAGGGCGGCACTTGGAAAAGACAGGAGAGTTCAAACTTCTGGGTCCAGCTAACGCCAGCCACGGGCACGTTCCTCTTGAGTACCTCGCCAGGAGGGACCAGAAGTGGCAAAGGAAAAACAAGGTGATCGCTCGTGGCCACGAGCAGAGAAGGAAAGTTCCTGGCTGAGCCAAGAGGGGAGGTGAGCCCTCCCTGCCCAGGCAGGCAGCCAGGGAGAGGGTCGGGCCACCCAGCCTGCGTCCCAGCCCCAGCTCCCTTCCACCCAGAGCAGGTCCAGTCTCACATGGGCTGTGCCTGCTCCAGTTCCCGAGTGCCAGAGGAGCCATTCCAGCAGCTCCCACTTGCAAACAAAAGGCAGGACATGCTCCAAGCTAGAGGGAGCAACCGGGGAAGGAGCATCCATGCCCCAGCCAGGCTCAGAAATCCGCGTGTGAGTTTGCATGCAGTGGAAGAGGAGAGAAAAAGCACAGAAAGTGCCAGGCAGTGCCAGGGAACCCCACTGGGGCTGGAGTAACAGGACACTGCAGTCGCAATGGGACCACGGCCAGGCTGGGACCGTCAGTCCCCACCAGCCCTATACCCAGCACTGGAGAAACAGGCACAACTGCATCCTGCTCCGTGAGTACGAAGGACAAGGAGCCTTCCCGCTCCACACACAGCTTCCTGGGAAAGCTGGGCACCCCAAGTGAGAAGGAAAGGCTGACAGACACACCATTAACAGCACTTTACCTGTTTGCCTTTTACAATGTGCTTGGGCACAGGCACTTTAATCTCCAGGTCGCTGTAGTCTTGGGACCAGGCATAATTCTCTCGCACAGCTCCGTTGTAGCTGTCAGGGTTTGTCTGGAACTGCTCCTGCCTCCTGGGGGGGAAGAAAGGGGTGACATGCTAAGATCAGAGCCTGGAAAGAGCAGGAAACCTGAGAGCAGGGTACAAGAAGCAGAAAGAGAGGGCAGAGCTTCTGCTTGGCCATCCTGCGAGCATCCCTAACGCTTCAGGCTGGCCCCATCTAGGAAGGGAGAGGGTTCAGGTCAGCAGCCCCAGGATGCAGAGGGACCCCAGCCACCCCGCCTGTTGCAGGAGACTCACACATCCCTCTCCCCAGCGTGCCGCAAGGGAAGTCAGGCTGCCAACGGGACAACTGGCGCAACACACAATAATTTGGCTGCCCGAAAGGTGCAGAGCTGGCCCCTGGCTGGCTCGAGGCACATTCCCAGCTAACTCCACTCGAGCACAGAGCTCCTCTTCCCCTCCGCCTCCCTGCTCCATCCACTGTGCCCATCACAGCTGGAGCAGGGGACACTGTCACACGCCGGAGGGTGCGTGCTGCCTCCTGAGCCGTGGCCATGGCTGCGGAGGTGGCGGCCCATCACCGCAACCTGGGTTCACTGTGAAGAAGCAGAATACTCCTCCTGATTTCAGCGTGTTTGGGAAAACCATTGGCTGCTGAAGAGCCAGCCCAGCGTGGCACTGGAAGGGGGCAACCAGACAAATGGATCACGAGCAACACTTCGAGCAAAACACGAGCCACTTCCAGCTGCGGAAACCTCAGGAGGATGAGGAGGCGGTTGTGAGGGCAGGATGGGATTTATCAGATGGATAAGCAATAATCAATACCATGTTTCCAGCCAAGAAGGGAGACCTCCATCACACCCATTAAACTGCTGGCAGCTGAGGACCTATTCCATCAAAACCTCTTGGAGAGGGCTTTCAAATAAAATAAAATCTTTTCTAAAGATAGCTGCGGTGCTAACAAAAGGCAGAGTTATTTTAAAATGTTTTGATATGCACCTAGTGCTCAATCTGGAGCCGGATAAACATGGGGCTGCAGCGAGTTACGTAAGGGGGGGCCAGTGACGAGCGGGCCCAGGGGGCAGCCGGCCCCGCTTCCAGCAGCGCGGAGCCCTGAGGATTATGTAAGATCCATTGATTTTAATTAAATTAGGCTCCAAGACGGTGGGAGAGCGTTGTCGAAGGGGCTGTGTGTACAGCCACCTGGTTGGGCTTTTTTCTTGATGGTTTCACGGGGTTTTGCCCATTACAACCACGCACGCCCCGGGGCGGTTTTGATCCAGTTCTCGGGGCAGCAGAGCCAGTGCGGGCAGCGCCGGGGACTGGCAGTGGCCACGGGCTCCCAGCCTCAGGCCGGTGATTTCGGGGGGCACCGCATCACTTTTTTTTGGGAATCTTGGCCTCGCCTGGCGGTCACCCATTGGGTGCCCATTGCCATGGAAACGGGGTTGGCATGGCAGCGCCGAAGCGGCGCTGGCGCGGGTTGGCTCCAGCTGTCGGTTTCCCAACCGCCCCCGGATTGTAGGAGTCGAACAGGCTGGAGGGCGAGAAGGGGAACGATGCAGGCGACTGCGGGCGACCGGGGTCTGCGGGGCCCCGCTCTCACCCCCCGGCAAGGAAAGGGGTGGAAAGGAGGCGGCAGGTCCCCGAGCATCGCCTGGTGTGTCCCCCGGTCCTCATCTAGAGCCAGCCCAGCGGTGGCACCCGGTCCCGCTCTCAGGGCGCGATCGTCCCAGAGACCACCCCGCACAAGGCCCAGGCAGGGAGGAGGGACGCTTCCCTCCCGGGGAGGATCCATGCTTGGCTGGTTTAGTGCCCTCACAGGACGTGTCCCCGCCTGGCGGGGTCTGCCCGGGTCCACAAGGCTCCTGCCCTCCGCCCCAGCTCCCTCGGGCTGGAGCAAGTGTGTACGTGGCTGCGGGGCGAACCGGAGGACAAACCTGACCAGGGTTTAAAAGCCGCTGGGTTATTTCCTCCGAAGAGAGCGTTTTCTTCTAATCAATGTGGACCTGAGCTGCGAGGCAGGGCTCACCGTGCTCCTTCCAAACCTGTCAGTGAGACCCCAGGGGGAAGGCCTGTCGGCTGGGACTCACCAGCCCGAGTGTCCTCAGCTCCCGGAGAGCGAGCAAAGAACCAGCCAAGAAGAACAAGCAAATGTGGATTCACTTCCAGGCCGTTTCCCCCTGGCCTCCCCCAGGAAAAGCTCGAAGGCGAAAGCAGGAGGCAGCGAGCCCGAGCTCGGGCCAAGGCTTCTTAGAGCAGATGCAGATGATCAGAGATGGGAGAAAACCCGTCAGCGCGAAGGCACGCGTGGGTCAGCCGCCAGCTGCAAATGCCTCACGGCCACAGCATGGGTAAATACAAACCCGGGGCAGCCACTCGCTGCCGCAGAGCCACCAGGTCCACCCTTGTGTCTCTTCCTTGGGAGGAAAGCGCTGGGGCTGAGCAGATCCTGGCCAGGCGTGTCCTGGACGTTTCAGCCCCCCCAAGAGCTCACCGAGCGTGATTTCGTTGCCCTGCGAGGGCACAAGTGGCTTCACGGCAGCCCTCAGAGATGTCAGTGTTAGTTGGGTTACTCCCACAGGGAAACTGAGGCAGGACTTGCTCTGCAATGACTCTGCTAAACTTCTCTTTGCACAGCATCGCTGCTGAGCAAAGGAAAGCAGTCTTCCTCCCAGCCCTGACTGTCCCCCATGGGACGGCTCCGTCCTCGCTCCCTCCGTGCCGTAACTAGAGCAGCGTGCTGGGCGGCGGAGGGACGTTTCACAGCCATCCCTGCCTCCATGCTGCTGGGATGAGCTCTGTCCCCACTGCCTCGGCCCCATGGCCCTCCCAGGCCGGTTGGGTGACACATGCCCCAGCCAAACCATCCCCCTGCTCCGCTGGCTTCTGTGGGGAGAAGTTTCCCCTTGTGCCTAAACCTCCCTCCAGCCGTGGCCGCTTGTCCCAGGAATGTGGGGCCTGGTGCTGTCACGTCTCTGCTCCTCTCCCCGCTAAGAGCCGGCCCGAACCCCTCCAGCCCTTCCTGCAAGTCACCGTCACCGACCTCTGCTCCAGCTCTGCTCCCGATGTTCAAATTCCTCGGATGTGAATCTAATGGGGGTGACTTAGCGCCCAAAACCAGATCACAGGGGGAACTCATGAAGGTCTCAGTAAATTCCTCTGCAAGTTTAACTGCCTGCTCTGGAGCAAATGAGGATTCGGGGTGACGAAGGCAGGCCTCGGCCTCGTTAGGCGCCTCTGACAAACGGCTGACAGCTCTACCATCTCCTGGAGCAACTCTTCCTTTCCTGGAGGTTTTCCAGACAGATCCTTGCCCAGTCCAACTGTGCTTAGCGCACACCACCCTTCACGCCGGCGGCACTCAAGAAATTGGACCCAGCTCCGGGTTGGGAAGCAGCTTCCCTCGCTGTCTGCAGGAGACGGCCCCAGCTCACAGCGAGCTGGGCTGAGCCGGGTGGCCACGCTGGTGGCTCTCCTGGCCAAACCTGTCCCTCGCGTCGCTTCAACAGCACCACCATGCAGCGGGCGAGAGAATTTCCTGCTCAAATACCATCGCCAAGAGACATCCCCATCCCCAGACCCACCAGGCGAAGATCAAGGCCGGATCCGGAGCGCAGCGTGGGTTGGATGGCAAGCCTCCCAGCAGTCTGGTGATAGCACAGCAGCTCCCGGTACGATGGTCAGCTCACCAGTACGCTGGACCACCCGCTGGGCCAGGGCAGGTGGTGGCAGGGCTGAGGAAAGGGAGGGTGAAAAAGCATCAGCTTCTAAACCCAAGGGTTTGGCACCGCGTGCACTTGGCTGCTGGGTGGTGGGGATGGTGTGGGTGGGTCTGTGTGTTCTGTCTTGTTCTATTTTTGCTCGCAATGTGTCATTTTGGGGGAGGTGAAACCTTTAACAATGCACCGTCGAGAAGCAGCCGATCTGTTTTCCACTCCTAGAAGCTGCACTGCACGGCTGCGCTGTCACCGGCACCAGAGCCGCTCCCCTCACGCGGGGTCAGACCCCTGGTGGCAGCGAGAAGGGGCCAGGACCCGAGGAGAGGTGGTGGTGTCCCCAGCTCGAGCGAGGCTGGCTGAGGCAGAGCTGGCCCCAGCATGCAGGCTGGATGCCCCAGGGCCAAGCCGCACATCGGGCCCCATATACAGATTCCTGGGCATTTCTTATTCCGGCATTTCCAGCTCCATGGATTGGTGATGATGCACGATGAGCCAAGCGATGCGGAAACGGTGACAGAGCAATCCTCTCCTCTGCGGACGCTCGGCTGAACACATTTCCATCCTCAGAGCGCAACAGCTCCAGCACCAGCTCCGTAAAAGCAGCACCAGACACAAACCAAGAGCAGGAACCAAACGCCGAAGGATTTGGTTTCATGTTTTATAGGAGGAGAAGTAGGGCAGCTCACCAAGTTCCTCGGCAAGAACGCCAAAGTTGAGGAATAGATACAGCAGCATGGGAGCAGCCGTCCACTGGCCCGATGCTGCAGGCTGAGGGGTGCGTGGCGGGGGGAAGCATCTCCATAAAAAGAAGAAAAAAATCCCAAGGATTTTTAGAACTACTTAAGGAAACTGATTCTCTCAGCCTGGAGCATCTTGGCTTTCCGACGCAGGATCCCTGCCCTCTCAGGAAGCCAGATGATGGAAGTCCAGGATACCTGGCTTGTGCAGGGTCAGGCACGCTTGAAGGCTCAGCATCTGCTGCCGGTGGCACCGGTGACCTGCCTCAGCCAGCACTGGTTCTTTGGAGCAGACGGTTGAACTCAGGGTGGGGTCTGCACCTCGCCGGCATCGGCACTGCCACGGGCCAGTACGGCAGATACCCTCCAGTCACTTGGCATTCACAGAAAGCTTCCTCCAGGGCCGGCACTGCTGTTTGCTCTTCGTCAAGGTGAATTATTTAGGCAGCTTTAAGGAAAACGTGTCAAGCCAGTTAAGCGATGCAGATGTGGAGGCGGGGGGAGAAGAGAAACAACCTCCACAGCTGAAGCAGGGCAAGTGGGACTGGCCCAGGCCGAAGAGGATGATGTGGGGAGAAAGCTGAGCTGGTGCTGTGAGACTACCAAGCCAGTGTACACAGAAATGGAGACCTCGACC